AATCAATTGACCAAAACTTACGCAAACTTGCCGAAACCGCAGGATTTGCAGACATCTATACGCAAGACTATAGCGGATATTTTAAAGACATTAAAGATTATATATATCTAAACGGTGAAAAATACCGTCCCCAAGATATATCACCTATCAATATTTTTAGCTTTGTTACACTCAAGAATGAAATTCTTGATTTTCTAGGATGGCCCTACTACATCTTAGAAAAACTAACTATTTTATACGCAATGTTTAACTTTATTGGATTTCTTTTTTCACTCTTAAAAGGAATCTATAACACATGTGCTATACACACACAAGTCAATAGACAAGCAAGTGTAGCACGCATACTATTTGCAGGATTTTTTGGAATATTTTCTACATCTATAAACAAAATTCTTTTAGACGCACAAATAAAAGAATATAACACAAAAATAGCAACAAGACAGAACACATACGACGAAGAACATAACAATGCAGACACAACACCAACAGCACCACAGTTACCACCCCTACCACATAACCATCCATTATCCCTAGTCCCACGTAATTTTCGAAATTTAGCCATAACACATAATAATTTTAGACCAACCATATCACAAAGTCCCATCCAACATATAATGCCACACCACTCACAAGATGAAAATACTTATGAACAAATTATAGAACAACCCCATACCACCGCTTTTCAGTCTCAAAATAATAATTTTTTTAGCCCACGATGAGCCGACAACTTGGATCCCTACACCGATCAAATTCCCACCCAACCAACCTCACCACTCCAATCCCAATAATACCACTTTTTGCTTTTCCGCCACCCGATTTCCCATCCAGTAATGTAACATCCGGCATGAATTCCGATACTAATTCACACATCTCAGTTTTATACTCCATCTCACAACTCAATAACCCGAATATTGAAACCCCCGATGAATTTGCCGACTCTGAACCATCTCCATCAAATAATTTTCACACCAATCCCTTAAATTTTTCCCAACCCCCTTTTCAACCCATACTACCAAATAACCCTGACCCAACCAATTCTACACCCTCTTATGCTTCCCAAGTCACTCCAACCTACTCCTCACTTCACTCAAACCAATCATCTCATTCTTCAGACACCCCCCGAATCTCCCCAGAACTAGATAATTTCATTACCCTACAACAACAATCCTATCACCTTGACACCCCAACCATAAACCAAATCTCATCCACAATAGATTCATCCAACCCTCCTACCCCTACACCCTCTTCAATTTATACTGATTCATTAGCACCATCATCCACAACTACTGTATCTTCACTCAGCACTAATAGAGCTTACCGCACTTTTAAAAGGAAGTTCCCCAACCATCCTTTCCCAGCGAAACCAGGAACAGCCCGTGAATATATCAACCATCCACAACACACTAACACAAAAGAATTTTTAGCTATCACCTTACCCTCATTTCCACAATACACCTTAAACACCCCCCACGACACTAACGAAACACGAAACTTTGTAGATGAATACGTTTTAATGCCCACTCTCTCTTGGACCTCATATTATCATTTTACTAACCCTCTTTGCTTACCTTTATCTAACACTCACATCGATATAGAGCGAAATACAGACATGCTATATCGACTCACTACACCACTAACCGCTAGACAATTTACTTACGTTGGATACAAAAAATCACTAAAAACACACACTGCACCCCGAGCTAATGAATATACACTAGAATATTACGATCATAACATCATCAGAACTAACCAAGATCAATTCTTAGACGACGATCGCTTCGCTAACCCACAAATCACCGAGAAATTTTTCATTAAAACACCATATGTATTTACACTAAATATCTTCGATCGCAAGTTTGACCACATTATCTCAGAAGCACTAACAGACACGCAAGCCTACGAAAGTTTTAAAGAACGCTTCCAAATATTTTCACTAACCTTTCGTTTCCTTGCACCACATGAAAGAGATTTGCACTGCTCACACAATATTATGTTGCGCACTAAACAAACACACACATATACTTATTATCGTTTCATCCAAAATCACTTTGACCTACACACTCCCTCCAGACAACCACACCATCGTTTTCAATTCATCAATTCCAAATACACCTCACCATTCTTTCTTAACTTCACATATTGCATTAAAGATACTAACCTTCATGGTATTCTTCGAAATTATGATCCCATAACCCAAATGTATATCTTTTGTCCCATCACCAAGACCTTCAACGCAGAAGAATCCCGACCCTTCCTCATCCCACACGAGTTTGTACAACCTATAGAAATCCCCATTTTAGAATTCATCCATAACACTAATTTCAACCACAAATTATATAATCTAATCCAAAACACACCTTATGAATTTACAGTTGGCACTGAAGAACTAACCACCATTAAGGCACTTCAATTGCTTTGGCCACTGCTTCAAACTAAAAATATCATCCGCATATTAGCCAAATTACTAACAACTTCAGATCTCATCCACGACATTTTCCCTCACGGTTTCTTCCCCGACGACTAACAGGTAAGTATGAATTATACATATTACTAATTATTCAAACATTAGAAACTCACCATTCTTTATCCATGTTTTCTTTAGAATTTTAGCCTTCATCCTAGATCATCTGAAAAATTCACAAAAGAAAAATAAAAAATAGCAAACTTCTTCAAAACTGTTTAAGACCTTATTAAATTTTTGCACCAACAATTAAATAAATATAATACCAATGCAGTAAATTAATTTATAAATTTTTCCCCCACCAGCAGTAAATCTAATAATGATGAAAATTTGTAACTTATTTTCCCCCAACAACTAGCAGTAAAATTAAAATTCTATGTAGTAAATTCATAAGAAGCAAAAGCAGTACTAACCTTTTGATATTTTCATTCACTCGCATAAAAATTCTATCCAAACTCGCACAGCTCGCCCACGAAGAATTGTTTAAAGTAATGAATTTCAGTTCCAAGCTTTCACACTCGATAACTCTAACACAAGATAACATATTTCAAACTTTACTTTAACCCGGTTGGAAAGGAATTATATACTAAACAAAACTAACCAATGCAGCTTACTAAACACCACAACACATAGCATAACAGCATGACTAAGAAAAGGAAACCAACGGTACCCAAACCGGATTAACCCAGTTTAAAACTGGATAATTTATTCTTTTGAAGACTATTATAAAGTCTAAGAAAGAAATAATAAAACACAAAAAAGTCGAAAGACAAACCCATACCACAAACAATTTGATTTTTGAAAAAAGGACACAACCAACAAAACATAAGAAAAACCACAACAAACCCAACATAAAACGTTGTCACATAACAGGACCTCTCACAAAAACCGCATGCAATCATACTCCCACTCCTGGCCTAACCCACCAGGAAGGACGTCCTGAGCATGCTCTATAGCCGGCCTAACCCACCGTGCTACATCCACGCTTTGTGACCACACTCCTATTTTTAATAAGAGCTACTCAAGGGTGAGTAACTCTTCAAAATAACTGAACTAAAACAAAAAGCTTTTGTGAAAACAACTAACTAAAATCATAATTAAAAAATATTAAACTAATAAAAGTTTTATAAAATGTAAATTACATTATGCAATACATAGATCAGAATACAACACCAAGGACGAACATCCAAAGACAAAACGACCCTACTACACTCGAGAAAGAATGGCCAACTACAATCAATATGCCGCCCACAATCACAACTCAAAGGATTTAGAGTACGACTTGACTTCGCAGAAAAGGACTTCATTGAACTAGACCAATGACCACCTCGATGTTCAAGTATACGTACAGATCCAAGTAACCAGGCATCCCCTCCACGCACAATCTCCACGCCATTCCCAGACAAGGTCAAACACAAAGAAGTTCTCACCAATGAAACAGAAAAACCTGACATAGCCAACCATTCTGAAATCAGATTTGAGTTTGTTGCGAAAACCCAGTCGTTGTCTTGAGAAGACACAATGATTGAATCTGGGACTTCTCTAATAAGAAAACCCAGAAGAAATAAGATGTTCGCCAAATACCAACGTCCATCATCCATCTTTCGAATTGCAGAAAAACTATTCTAAAAAACTCTGTAAAACCCGGATGGGTGGAACCTGATCTAAACTACATTTTATGATTGGATAAATTAGATATTTTACCAATGTAAAGTATTTAATATTAACCAATCATGATCCATCTAACTAACAATCCACTTATTTGTAAGTGCTGAAATTACTTGTAATTTCAGCACCAGAGAGATTTGAATTTAACTTAGAAATTAGTTGAACTCTCCCGAGTACTTCAGCAGCCGCAATAAACCAGTATACCCTAGATCTATTGAGCCTAGCAGAGACTAGTTAAACAACCTGAGACTAGATAGTATAAGAGCAAGATTAGGATCGGTATTAGACTAAGAAGTTGCACGAATCTATCCGGCCGAAAATAAGATAGCGTGACGAGCAGACGGTGTACCCTATCCGAAATTACTCTATGAGTTATACCCATCGATCATAACTCATATGGCCCGTTGCAAAGGGGGAGATTCGTTAGTGGTTACAAAATCGCAATTTAATCGTTGCACTATTTCCTTACAGAGGTGGTAACTCGTTACTAGGAACCAAAAGGGGGATAGTTAAATAGATCCTCTGCGAATCATTTTGTCTACTATCATTTTAAAAAAAGTTTATTTACCTTACAGTTTATCTGTTAGATAAATAGTTCACATGTGAGCTCTTTTTCATTCCTTCACCCCGACTGCAAATTTCTACAAGTAATTCTTTTGTTCACATTTTCCGATTATCATGAAAACTGACATGCAGGCTAATTAGGGCTTGTTCACAAACATATTTAGTCTGCATAACCAAACTTGTAAAACCACTCAATACTCTAAAAAATTGAAGCTTGGTTTCACATTTTATCAGTTTGCGGTTTTTTATATTTGGACGTTTTAGTGGGTTTTAATGAAAAAAACACGTGCAGCATGAATGTATATAAATTATATCCTGATTTTGTTCTTTTGAGATTGGACTGAGCATTTACTTCCGTTTTACTTTATTTTGCGGTTTTACTGATGCGTTCTATAGAAACATTGCAAAGCTATACACGTTATTTAATTGTTTAATCATTTGTTTAATGGTGCAATAAAGATGAAAGACAAGGGAAAATCTGTTACATGATTTTTTTAGCTGTTTATGAACAAAATGACTCTCAAAAAATTGCTGCTCAAACTTTTATTTTTCATTACTTCTATCTTATTGTTTACTGTCATTTTTAACCACGTCATGGATACAGGCTCGAAAGATCATTTGAACTACCATACTCTGAAATTGACCATGAATAACAGTTTCAAGCCAGGGCCGATTTATGCCGATAATGAGCAATCCAAGTATCGTAATTTGAGTTCATCAAACAGTTCGACCGAGAATTACTTGGACTCTCTAGAGCTCAAAAATGTTGTCCCAGATTTCGCATTCGTTAGCAAAAGCTGTGACAACAATTTGGACATGAAGCAATGGGCACCTGCGTCTGTAAAGGCGAAAATCTGCCTGTTCCCACTTAGCAAAGATAGAGTGAGTCAAAGTTGGCATTTAAATTATCACCACCGGCTCTTTTCCAGTATCCCACCCCCTCGTAAAAATACAAAATATACATTACGAGGCCAAAATATGCATCCTGTGCATTGTAAGCGGATTCATCAACAGGACAAAATCAGATTTTTTGCGGAATCCGCAACATAGCTCTTTTCTTTGATCTTCTTTGCTGTTTTGGATTCCACAAACAAATACCTAAAAGACTGTACCACTAAAAATTGCTGCAAAAATAGGCGAACTTGAGGAATCCGCAATCGTGTTTGCGGATTCCAGAACAGTCTGTGGATTCCACAAACAAATAATAAGACAAAGTGTTTAGTTAATTTGACCTGTTGCGGAATCCGCAACTGTAAGTGGAATCGGCAAATTGTAACTGGAACCCGAAAATTATAAGTGAAATCCGCATTTTGTTTGCGTATTCCTTTACATATATGTAGATATGTAGTAGCTTTTAGAGTCATATCTTTTAATTACTTGGTGATCTCCAGCAAGTTCAATCTCAATCACTAAATTACCCCGCTCATCAGCTACCTGTTGAAATGCCTAATATTCGATCTCATTTTCTGTCAAACACCCTGCTTCAAAATTTGGGATTGATGGAATCCCAATTACTGACCAGTATTTGGAATCGACGAAATACCAAGTACTGACTTTATTCGGCGATATGCTGTGCATTGTGTTTCTAAACACTCTCAACATAATGACTCCAAATAAAAAATTTATTCGGTGTAATGTTTCCAAAACAATGATCTCAAAAAGTGTTTGCTGGGATATGTATCCCAAACACTAAAAGATGCCATCCACCGATTTAGTTAAGCAATGTTTTAAAGTTTGTTTGTGGATTCCACTGACAATGGTTAAGTCCTTGCTTTTAAATTCCTCATTGCTAAAGATAAGAATTCCAGCTCTAGCTTTTAATTGTTCATATGCAAGTTCAGTAAAAATCAATATTCGGAATCCATTTACAGTTTGCGGATTTCACTTACATTTGCGGATTCCCTTTACAATTTGCGGAATCCACTTAAAGTTGCGGAATCCAGAACAACTAGCTATATTCGCTTGTTGCGGAAACCGCGACACAAGAAATGTGCCGACGGAAATTTTGTGAGTGGAATCCACTTGAATTTTAAAACATGTTCAAAGATTAGTTTCTGGAATCTAGGAACATTCAGACACAAAACTGTGCGCCTATCCAGTAATGTATTTTTTTTAAAAAACTGTTCATAGAGCAAATTGCATATGAAATTTTTTTTAACAACTTGCTCATTTGTTCACACTGATTCGTTTTATTACAGTTTAGAACATCCAAAATTATTTAGTACAGAATTTTGTAAAACGAGTTTCACAAACCAAAGAAGGGGGACTGGAAAAACAGGGTGGGGGACTTTGTTTTAAACAGTTTAAAACACAGGGTTAAAAAAATTGTTTAAAACAGCGGGAAAAAAAAACACGTTTAAAATAGTTTTATTGAAATACACAATTAAAGCCGTTTTTCGGCTAATGACGCAATAGTGCTAAAGTTATGACGCAATAGTGCACGAAGTTTCACACCTCACTTTTATCGCCTGTTGTTTTGACCTGCTCGCTGATTGGTAGATAAATGATGAGTTCACATATTTCTACTGCCGCCGCCATTTTCCGGTTGAAGTTGCACTCTTGCCACTAGGTATATATAAGCACTTTCCAAAACGCAAAAATTTTCAAAATTGCCTTTTTTAGTTTTGCAGTGTGCGTAAATTTAAAGTATTTATTTGTAGAGGGAGCATGCAGTGTTGGCTGAAGTTTTGTATTTGCAGAAAAATTTGAGGCGAATCAGTTCAACATCTTTCACTAAAAACAAGACTGCTCATTATTCAGGGTGAAACTTTAGAACCGACTGCCCTTAAAAGAAGTTTTTGATAGACCCTAAAATTGAAATGAGTGTTTTTTCTTTTCCTTGCATGCGTTTCGTTTAGTTTGAGTAATTGAAATAATTCCTAAGTTTGGGTCTTTTCTGTTATACGTCTCAAAATGTCTTAATTTTTCCATTTAAAAAGTGAATCTTAAAGCACAACTCTGATTGGTTGAAATTATTTTTTCCTGCGAAGATAATATCTGGAATTTCATTGAAAGCAGAAACTCAAAGTAACAACAAAATTTTTTGACCGTATAACAAAAATAACCCCTCACTTTGATGTGGAGAAGAAGAATAAAGAACACCTGAATTACTATACAATAAAAGCCGAGGCATCAGTATAGCAAAGTGTAAATAATGAAATTGGTTAAAATTCATTGGTTACATCAAACAAAAACTCAACATCAGAAAACAAGCAATAAACAAAACAAAACAAAACAAGTTCGGTTACAGTTCAGAAATTGGTTGATTAAAATATATGAAGTTACGGTTACTAAAAAAACATCAGTTTTAAGACTTAAGAACGAGCTGGTAATAAAACTTTACGAACTATTTTACAGATAGTCCAAACATACAGCGTATATACAGAGTATATACAGATTCTCTTTCAAACAATGTGTGAAAAATTAAACTAAATTAAAACATATAGAACTAGCAAAAACGGAAATCACGCCACGTATTTGTATTTGTACATATTGGAATGTTTCTCAATTCACTCACGTAAAATTCTTTCAATTTTTTCTTGAATCTTGTTCTCGATTTTTCTAAATTGCGCAAAATTATGGGCAGTGAATTCCATTTTTTAGAAGTCAAATGAAAAAAGATTTTTGTAGAGAAGCGGTTGAACAATGTTTGTCAAAAATAATTTGTTTCGTTCTTTTGTTGAGCCTATAATTGGCAGTCGGTAGTCTCAATGTATTTTCAAAAGCCTTCATTTTGTTTGTAAGATATTGGTATAAGTATGTTATACACTTTAACTCAATTCTTTTCTCGATTCCAATGAACGATTTGCTAATGCGAAGAAGGGAAGAAGATTTAAATTTCGATCTGAAATATGTTCTTTTTAACGCCCAGTTCAACTGTTTCTCTAGAGATAGCATCCAAGTAGCATTAATTTGTATTAAAAATATTATTGAATAATCTAAATGTGATAAAACAAGACAATGAAGCAAGGCAACTAATGATAATGTCGGCAGTTGTTGTCCAATTGTATCTATAGTTAATTCCTTGTGCCATTTTTTGGAGAATTGTTTTGATTTGAGCATGAAAAGATAAACTTGAATCAAAAATAAGGCCTAAATATTTGCATTCTGATTTTTTGGCTAAATAATGCCCATTAATTTCTATTGTATCAGTATCTACATTTTTGCTATCATTTTTTTGACAAAATGTTATAAATTCCGATTTAGATGCATTCAGATTTAATTGGTTCTCTGCAAAAAATTCCGTTAGATTATTGAGTGATTTTTGCAATCGATTCAAAGCATCCTCAGAAATTATAGAAGAGGAAAAAACCATACAGTCGTCAGCATATTGAACTAAAGTACAACCTTCATATAATCGCTCTTGTATGTCATTAACATATAAATTGAACAACAACGGACCAAGTACCGTTCATTGTGGGACACCTCGTTTGATTTCAATCAATCCAGTCTGAAAAGATTCCATTGACATTTACTCTTTGATTACGTTGGTTTAGGAAGCTAGCAATTAAAGCATTTGCTCCATTTGAAAAACCGAGAGAAAGCATTTTTTCAATTAAAACTTCATGCGAAATAGAATCAAAAGCCTTGGACAGATCTAATAAAGCTGCATGTACAATTTTTTTTGAATCTACTTGATTTCGAATACTTTCTGTCACATTAACAAGAGCATCTTGTGTTGAAATGTTTTTGCGAAATCCGAATTGAAATGGTGTTATTATTTGAAATTTGTCAAGATGTTCTGTTATTTGGGCATGCAAAATTTTTTCAAAAATTTTAGAAAAAGCACAAGTTATTGATATTGGCCGATAATTTTTAGCATCCATTGGGTCATCTTTTTTAAATAAAGGGGTTACGTATGTTTTTTTCAGTTCGATCGGGAAAATGTTCTCATCTAAGCAAGTATTTATGACAAAAGTTAAATGTGGAACAATAACTGATTGCCCAAGCAGGTACGATACAAGGTCCGAGAGGTTTTCTGAAATTGATTTTTTGATCTATATCAAAGCATTAATTCGCTGTAATGTGTTTAAAATGGAAAGGCGCAGATTCAGAGGCAGATTTGTTGTAATTCGGAGGCTTTTTTGCGCCGAAAAGTTCGCCTAAGTTTGAAAAAATATAATTTAAATGATTGGCAATTTTTTTGTCTTGGGTTATCATTTCACTGAAGGAGTTTCGTAGAACTGTAATTCAATTGTTGCCAGAACATGTACCTCTAACTTGGTTAATATATTTCCATTTTTGTTGGATAGTGCTGAGAAGTGAAAAACAATTTTTTGAATGATCGAGTTGTTTACTTCTAATCAATTGGCTCATTTGATTACGTAAAAACTGGTACTTTGACCAATTATCGCTTGTGCTTTGACTGCGATATGATCTGAGTGAATTCTGTTTCTTAATCTAAATTGCTGACCTTCTGAATCAAACCATTCCGTTTTCAACACATTTTTTGGTTTAAAATTACGAACAAATTTTTTTTCGATAGGAGCATGTTGCTGAAGAGCACTAGAAATTAAATAAATCATCGTCGAGAACATGTTTTGTGCGTCTGTACATTGATATAAGAGATACCAAGGAAGAGCGGAAAGAGTATTACAAAATTCATTTTTCTGATAATTTTTCTTATTGAAAGTCGAAATTATCCTCGGTAAACTTTTGCCGCATTTTATATCCGTCAAAATAAATGAAGCAAAATGGTCGGTTTTATTAGGTGTATCAAAACAAAATTAAATGCCGTTTGTTTCATAGTCACTGATAAAGTAGTCGATATGAGTTTTAGTTGAGGAACTAATTCTGGTCTCATCGTTTGGACAAAAAACCTTCAATCCAAATGGAATAATTATAGAATCTAAATTTTCTTTTTCTTTGCTATCCAGATAATTTATGTTATAATCACCCAGAAGCGTAATTTTATTAGAAACTGAAAATGCATTATCTATGTTAAGCATTAATCGTTCCAAAAAATCAATAAAGTTTGATCTGCTTGGACTATAACACAAATTAACTAACATTTTTTCTTTACTGGAAATGTTAAATATAGATTTGCACTCAACCCACACTGACTCATATTTTTCTTTATCAAATAAAAATTTTGGAGCCAATTTGATTGGTATATATAACAAAACGCCACCGCCTTTCTTTTTTACCGCTGATTGCCTATCATATCTGAACATCGCATGCGTTCTAGGGTGGAGATTCCATACATTGTCACTATCTTCTTTTTTAAGCCACGTTTCGGAAATTCCTATAATTGTATTTTCGCCCATATCATCAAGAAATTTTTTCAATTGCATCCGTTTTCTAATAATACTTTGAAAATTCAAATGAACAAATTTAAGATTTGCACAATTTTTTGAGCAGATGCCGTAGACTGTTTCAATGGTTTCAATAGGACTAGGGTTTTTTTCAACATCCCCACTTTGGGTTAGTAACAACGCAAAAAGGAAAAGATGAGTCAGTGTGGTAGCTCTCCGCTCATTTATCCCACATTTCGATGTTAGTATCTTTTGATGGCAGCTCAGATAGCCCCAGTAAACAATGGTTTTTTCTATATTTTCCATCTGAGCCTTGGAAATTAGAAAAATTGCACAAAACAACCAGAGTTTAATATTCAGCATAATAAATTAAAGAATCGCCAAAGTTTGCACCAAGAAAAAATGCGAAACTAGTCAATTCGTCGTTCAAATTTCGGAAAGTTTCGAGGTCAAACATGTTGGCGATTAAAAGCGAAATTAAAAATGAGACATTAAAAATAAGACATTGATGTGGCGGGCATCAGTTTGAGTTTTAGTAGCAGATGTGAGAATTCAAACTCAGATCTAATTGTGCTGATAGCCGAATGCAGGTAGGCCGGTCCCCTTCATCAGTCAGCTAGTATCAACTAATAGGTAATTCAATTTCAGGTGCATGGTAATTAGAACCAATTAGCTAGCCTTTGTTCAATATGGAAAGTTTTAGCTGCACGATAAATTGTTAACTATAATCAATTTGCAGTACGCACACAGCATCGTAGATAAACTATTTTGGAGTGCGCAAAATTGAGTCCAGAAACATCGCCAAAGTATCATTTCTTAAAACTTTCAGAACTTTACCATAAAAGGTTACTAAAAGTAAAAAAAAAACTTTTCATTTGAGTTCAAAATATCTAATATTGTTTTGACTTTCGAAGAAAGTGAGAAATTTATATGCTCGGGGGGATTTTGTATTCAGACTAATTTCCAAAAGGTCTTGAAATGATTAGATTTTGTTACTCTGGTGGAAACGATCCCTCGAGCTTCGTGTTCTCGAAACGTGGTCACGCTCACCACCATACTACCCTGTTTTTGTAGTCGCAGTGAAATGAGACTAACTAAACTGCTCGTTTTATATTTTTGATGCTGAAAATGTAAAGCGCAGTTTTTACGCGTTGCGATTTATGCCGCGCCTCAAAATTGTTCCAAATTGAATTGAGCCAGCTAATTGTTCTTTTTTATTTCATACGCCACTCAAATTTTAACAATTAAAATTTGAGATTAATAGCCTAAAATTCATGGTTTGTCAATATTTCAATAACCAAAAACTATTCGAGACCTGTTAATGGGCAGTCAGAACCCTGAGAGTTTTGCTATGACACAGGCAGTCTTCTTGAAGTATTAAAATTGTTAGTTTCTGAAAATGAAACACTGCCCTAAAATTCCCTCAAAATCCGGAACAAAAACAAAATAGCGTTTCAGTTTGTGAGTCATTCCATCAAACACTACGGCAACTGGGAGACTGGAATTCAGAAACACATATTTTCCCAAGTGTTCCCCCTATTCCCAAAGGCTGCCTTTGTCGACATTGGAGGACACTTAGGCACTTTCAGGTGAGATAATGGAATGAAGCGCCCTAAATCATCCAGATTTATTTTTTGTTTTGTAATGAGCAGCGAACCTTAGAACTAATAATTGGGCTATTTCCCACTCTACCTCCAAAATGAAAATGTCTTTTTCATAATTATTTTTATGTGTTATTATGGCTAAAGCGTGATATTACAAAGTAAGCTATGAAGTACAAATCTGTTCACAATTGTTAGTTTGTGGTTCACTATGCAAATTTTCATTTTATTACGACATTTTTTGTAACATATTTTCACAGTTAACTTTCTATTGTTTGTTTCTGGGGAGGGGAGTGGAAATTAACCCTTTATTACAATTAACTATGGGAAGAAACTATGGCGCAGGTTGTTCTGGTTTTGATCTTTTGTCGTTTCCCTCACCTGATTTTTTAAATCTCATAATTTTTTTTTATCGTTGCCCGCTTGTCATAAGGTTTGCCATGCTTGGTTAATTACCCTACTACCAACAAATACAGTTTCAAAAACTTTGTAAAGTAAAGATTTATGCCATAAAATTCTTGTTTATGTCTGGTGAAGAGAAACAATAAAAAAGCCCAAAAAATTGTTTCAGGGCCTTGTCGAGTTTTTCAAACTATGATCACCTCAATCAAGATAATTTTTCTCCTGTTGAACCCGCCTCAAAATTATTTTAAAAAACAAACAAAAATTTGGCAATAAAGAAGAAAAATCGATTTTTTTTTCGTTTTTGAAATTTTTGTGTTTAGCTTTTTGTTGTTTTATATAGTTCAATCTGGTCGAAAAATCATGTGCTACTTTACTTGCGCAGCAACCAATTTATTTGATACGTACATTGTTGATCAACTTACGACTAAGCAGTTCACAAATGTAATTTTAATAAAAAATACTCAATGACCAATACTAAATGTGAAATACTCATTGACCAATACAGTGCTGATTTAAGTTTTCCGGAAAAAACGAACAAAATTCGAAAATTCAAAAGCTTTTTCCCCAATCCGCTTAAGATTAGACAACAAGTGAGAGAGCAAATATTTGCCTAAATTTCACCAGAATTATAGTGGTGCAATTTGTTTAGCGAAATTTGCAACCAAAATTTTAACGCAAAAATGGTTTAGTTTGGCTTTTTTTAAAATCAACAATTACGCTGAAACTACCAACGTAACTGATGAAAAAGTTATATCAAAAGAAATCTCTCACATAGATAAACAAAATTTTACACTGATAAAATGCTCCAAAAATCTTTTTATCAGAATATATGTTCGCTAGATGTTTAAACATTTTTTTTACTAATCAAAACTAGAAATCTTTGTTTAAAAACTAATTTCAAACGTTTTACTCAAATTTTGGAGATTTTTATCCTTCTAAGACTTAGTTGGGCTGTGTGAGAGACTTTTTTTTATAATTAGGCTGATATAGCCTTTTCATATTAACGTTAGTTTTAGAGTAATTCTTGAGTAACTAAAAAAAGCCAAACTAACCCTTTTTTGAGACAAAGTTTTGGTTGCGAATTTTGCAAAAAAATTGCACCATTATAATTCCGGCAAAATTGTAGTCAATTTTTGCTCTCGTCACTTTTTTTAATCCCCCCTCCCCTCAATTTGAAAATTGATCATAGAAACTAATATTGATGAATTGTTTCAAGCATATCAGCGGCAAAACTGGGTCGACAAGTGTTTACTTTTGAGCCAGTCAAAGAGACCTTGGAGTACCTGGCAACATCAGTAAGGGTGAACTCACTCCAGCAGAGCATGCACGTGTACCCTGTCGCACTGATGGACCAGAGGTACATGTGTGTACACTCAAAGGACAACCCCACCAATTCAGGGGGTAGAGCTGTCAGAATAGAGTACGATCAGTGTAGTCCCCAAGTGAGTGGTAGATATGCTTTGCCTGGAGTACGATGCGGTTAAGTAATAAACTATTTTTCGAGCTAATTTTTTTTCAAACAAATTGTATGGTAAAATGTACTTTACAATATGGTTTGGTTTGGGAGAATGCCAAAAAGACATCAGCATGTTGCGTGGCATCTCAGAGGGGGGCAATTATTATGACAGAAAACTCAGTAGGCAGAATTTTTTTTTCTCCAAAAAGTGGCAAATCTCAGGTGCTCTGGTATCAATTTGAATTCTGTTCTGTATACTTTGTTCCTGGGATCATTAAGCTTTGAGTTGAATTCCATAAAATTTCAAATCTAATAAGAAAAGATGATAGAATCGACAAAAAGTTGTTAAATACAAGACTTTAAATTGATATTTGGTTTGCAAGCAGTTTTGTCGACTCCGCTGATAATGAGGTTTTCAGTTAAAAGATTTGTCAATTGTCGACCGTTCTTCTTAAATGAGACCATTTTTTCAGATTTTTTAGTTAATCAGAGTTAGGTTAGTTTCATCCAAAAATTGGCAAAAGATAATTTGATCTACAAATTCAAAGAGCTTTAAGGGATTCTATCTTTTCAAAAAAATAAGTCCGTTTTTTTCTGTTTACTTGCGTTCATTGACTTTTTTCCAACTTTCTGTTGGCTGCGTTTAGTTTGTTTATCTTTAGCTTTAGTTTGGTTTTTATTCTACGAGGTTCTCCTCAAAACGCATCAGTTCGTTCAGCTAGTTTGGGTCGTCTAGATTTTTAATAAATAAAAACAATTCATAATCATCAGAAACAAAAAAAAACATTGATATAATTGAATGCCAAAATATCACTCGTGTTGCGTGCCAAGATAGAGTGCCCCACTCTCCAAATCAGCTTCCTTGTTTTTATTCCAAAGGTTCTACTTTTTGGCTTTGTTTGCGTTGCCATCTTTCTGAATAGCCCTAAAGCTTTTCGAAATGAATAATTCTTCTTTATTGTCGTTCTCACAAACATCCCCCCCAGCCTATTGTTTTCCAAATACTTCCATTTGAAAAAAAAAACAAATTTAACTAAGCGATCATTCTCAAAAAATGATTTAAGAAGAAAGCAACCATATGGCTTAGATTTAGCTTTTTGCTTCAACAAAAAAACTGTTCAAATCAAATCGATTGTTTTCTGTTTCTCCTGCAAAGATCACTCAAAATTTTTTCTGAAGAAAAGCAATTGTCTACTGAAGAGAAGCTTACCGAACAGCAAGTAAGACTAATCAAATAAATTGGAAAAAACACGAAAAAACAGGTTAGTTTGGGTAATTTTTCGTGGGAAAAAAACTTCAGTCAATAAAAAACATTATTATTCAACATAAACTATATTCGATTCAGAATTAGCTTGAAGTTTAAAGCTTCCAAGCAAAATTTTACGTGTTGATAAAAGAGGAAATGCAATAAAACGTTTTCTGAACAAAGAAAATCTGGATGAGCTCGGACTTGTTAATAGTCGGACTTGTCAACAAAAGTTAAGCTCGAGGCAAAACGCATTGAAAAATGATCAGTCTTTGTTTGCGGATTAGATCTATCATTAAACAAACAAATTTCTTTTTGAAAACTACCCGTTTTTATCAATAATCTTTCAAAGGGCAGTTTGGACAATTCTATCATAGTTTTCCTGACAATTATATTCTAGGTTGTTTGGTTTTTTTTCTGATAAAATTTGTGGATTAAACTTGGATCATTAAGCTAACTGTAGTGTTCTAAAATTGTGCCGCACTCTCGTATCCTGTAAGGTCTAAAAAACCTGGTTCTTAAAAGTGTTCTCAAAATTGTGCCGCACTCTCGTATCCTGTAAGATCTAAAAAACCTGGTTCAACATATGTAAATTATCGGCAATTTAAACAGATAATATGACAATATAAAGATAATATAAAATAAGGCAAACATCTTCCGGTTAACATGTTATCAAACGGTTTTTCAACAATCTCAAAAATCTATAAACATTTTGATGGCAAACTGACCTTAATCGGACAAAACAGTAGTTTTCAAGGCCTTTTGTCTAAGCAAATCTAATTTTAGCTTTTTCACTTTCGCGCTATAATGACGTCATTAATTTAAGCGCGAACATCTTCCGCGCCCAAAGGAGCAAAAACGGGTGCGAGTTTTACGGCCGGTCGAGTTAGCTCCCCGGAGCGGGTGGTAACTACGGCGGATCGGGCTATGTTGTCTTTTCCGTAATTAAGGGTTTTTATACGAGCCAGAGGGTAGTGTCCCCTTGGGTTGCGTTCGTCAACAATCCACACTAAATCCCCTGTTTTTAAAATAACGTCACTATCGGAGTGCCACTTACTGCGTTTATTCAGCGCTGGCACATAATCTCGCTGCCAACGACTCCAAATTGCGTTGGCGTAGCTTTGCGCTCGGATATATTGCTTTCGATGGTCGAAGTGCTCCTGGAAAGAGAGAGAAGGAAAGCTAGTACCATTTCGGCCTAACAAAAAATGATTAGGAGTTAACATCTCGAAACCATCCGGACTTGCACTTACTGATGTTATAGGTCGAGCGTTCTGTGATTGTTCTACAAGACAGAAAGTTGTTTCAAGGACTTCGGGAGTGAGCTTTCTACTTCCTATTATTGCGTAGAATACCCTTTTACAACACCGAACGAGACGTTCCCAAGAACCACCGTGATGCGGGGCTGCCGGGGGGTTAAATTTCCACTTAATACCCTTTTTCGCCAGCTCTGGGGGTGCTTGATCGTTCCACGACTGAATACAATTTAAAAGTTCTTTCTCGGCGCCCACAAAATTGGTGCCGTTATCAGACCAAATGACTGATGGAGTGCCGCGACGGGCAATGAATCTTTCGATTCCCATTACACACGAACTCGTGTCCATGGATGAGACAATCTCAATATGTACAGCTCTGGTGGTCATACATGTAAAAAGGAAGCACCATCGTTTTTCAGAACTCCTCCTGATTGAGACGTAAAAGGGTCCAAAGTAATCAACACCACAGTTTGTGAAGGGAGGCTGGCGGTAACCAAGCCTTTCAACTGGAAGCTCTGCCATCACAGGTGTGACAGTTTTGGCTTTGCGCTTCCTACATATAAGGCAGTGGACTTCAATGGACTTCAATAAAGAGCGAAGGTTCAAGATTGCGAACTCTAAGTGAATTACAGCTCGCAGGTAGTCTAAGAACTGGTGCTGATAGCGATAATGAATATCACTTACGAACAATTTCACCAAAGAATGCCTTCCATCAAGGATTATGGGGTGTTTTGTGTCATATTCAGTTTCAACTAGGCGGCGAATTCGCCCAGTTGAACGAATGAGGAATGCAGGACCCATAAACGGTGCATACTGTGCAATACGACTAGACTTTTTGACGGTTTTGTTGCAGGACAGGAGTAAATATTCCGCTTCAAAAGATTCCTTTTGGGAAATCAACAAAAGTCGTTGTTTGGCGGTTTCTAGTTCAACCGGATAGGTTATTTCCTTGACTTTAGTGCGGTAGTGCCGGTGTTTCGGACTAAGTCTGAGCATGAAAGCAACCACTCGCTGGAGTTTACGAAACGAGCTGAACTTTTCCCATGCAAATAAAATGGGTTGTTTTTGTTTTTGTGCAACGTTTGAAAAATTAGAGGCCTGCTGTAAACCTTCATTAAGGTCACAAGCGGGACCAGCCAGGCGGATTTTCTTAAGTATTTCTATGCTCGGCTTTAAAGGCCACTCGTCATTTTTCAGCAGACTTGGCCCGTTCACCCAGCTGCTTGTTTTTAAGGACTCCGCTGAGATTCCTCTGGTTCCCGTATCAGCAGGGTTGTCTCCACTTAAGACATGAAACCACTGATCTACGGTCGTACTTTCTAGAATCTCTCCAATCCGGTTTGCCACGAACGTGGGTTGCTTACTACCTTAGTTTAACCACTGGAGCACAGTGGTGCTGTCAGTCCACATGAACGTGTTTGACACAGGAATGGTTAGAGCTTTGAGGACATCTTCCTTCAAGCGGGTAGCGAGTAACGCGGCCTGCAGTTCAAGCTTCGGGATGGAAAGCGCTTTCATGGGCGCCACTCTTGCTTTTCCAAAGACGAAGGCAACTTGTGTTTCGAGTGAAGTTTTCACACGGGCGCGAAGAAAAGCTACAGCACAAATAACTTCTTCTGAGCTGTCACCGAACAAGTGTAACTCAACCCAATCGACTGGTGCAGAGAAGTAGCTGCGCTTTATACTCATTTTCCCTAGAGATGGCAAACCAGAGTGCCAGGCAAGAAATTTTGTCTTGTTATCAACGGGTAGCTGATCATCCCATTGTTGACCATGAATGCGCCAGATTTTTTTCAACAATAATCGGGCTCTTACGGTATAGGGCGCTACGAGACCTATGGGTTCGAAAACAGAAGAAACAAAACTAAACACTGTTCGCTGTGTTATCGAATTTTTAAGTTCACGGTTGACACCACGGCTTACGACCAAAGTGTCGTCAATATGGTCCCACTTCAGACCAAGAACATGAGAAGAATTATCCCCACAAGTTACAATATTTTTACTTTCCTGTTGCGGCGCGCTTTGGGGCGGGTTTAACTCGTTATTAATTTTAGTTACGTTACTTATGAATTTAGTTAATTTAAAACCACCTAGAGCTAACAGAGTAATCAACTCTTGACTCATTTTAAATGCAACATCAGGGTCCTCAAAGGAGTCAAGGTAGTCGTCCATATAAAATTTCTCTAGAACTGCGGATGCTGCGTCAGGGAACATCGCCTGATTATCCATTGCAGTCCGTTGCAATGCATAATTTGCACACGTTGGCGAATATCTCGCTCCAAAGATATGTCTGGTGTACTGGTGTACAACCACATCGGCTGTGGGGTCCTCCCGCCACAGAAAACGAAGAGATGGTTGGTCCTCTGGAAGGACGCCGACTTGTAGGAACATCCCTTCAATGTCAGCCGATACGGCAAAATGATGTTGACGAAAACGGAGGAGAACGAACACAAGGTTTTGCAGTAGGTCGGGTCCTACTAGCAA